GAAATTTTATTATCTGAGAATTATTTTGTGCATTAAATTGAATGAACATGGTCTGGATAGCCCACAGACATACCATAAACATTTCTACGACCCAGAATTGGTCTCCTTTAAAGAGTCGTAATCAGAGGCCTCATTGCCGCTACAACCCCCCACATACAAACCCCCACATACAACCCCCCACATACAGCAGCTTGTTCACCTGCTCAACAAACAGAAGTTCAGTCATGTCCACTGCTTGTTGTTTAAACATGGGYAAGTGTGTTTTCAATGAGACTTGACTTGATATCAGTGATTTTTTCACTCGGTTGAAAGCGGTTCACAGCAGTCAGATGTGAACGTTTCATTCAAATAATTTAGTGTTCTTGTATTAAAATCAAATACTCTTTAATAACTAAATTGATAGCAATAAAAGGTTTCTCATTTCATTCATTTCATTTATTTATTTCTATAGCGCTTTACACAACRGCAGTGCTGGTGACCAAAGTGCTTCACAGAGTCAGTGATTAACACAACAACAAGTAAAAAACAAGAAAACACAACAAAATAACAAAATTAAAACCAGAAATGTCACCACATATTAAGTACTAAAAGCCTGTTGGAATAAAAAGGTCTTAAGCTTTGAAAAGGGTCAAGTTCAGTGACCAAACGTAGATCAAGAGGGAGCTGATTCCAGAGACGAGGTGCAGCTGCAGAAAATGTATGGTCACCCCAACGTTTATATTTTATCCTTGGAACAGAAAGCAGGAGCTGTCTGACCTCAGAGATGTAGAGCGGGTGGGGAAACTTAGCAACTTTGTTATATAAATGGGAGCAAGGCAATTCAGAGCTTTAAAAACAAACAAAAGCTCAAAATCTATTCTATTATAAAATTTCTGGGACCATTTGAATGTTTCTGTTAATGTGTTGATTTGGTCTTAAATGTCATTACTAATGGTCTTAAAAGGTCTTTAAAATGTCTTAAATTTAACTTACTGAAACCTGCATGAACCCTGGTTTAATGGTGGATGAAATAAAGAAAGTGGTGGTACTTTATTTACTTTGAGCAAGTGAACGTCGTGCTCACCAGATAATTAATCCACCAGATAATTCAGAGGCGGTCTGTTTGGTGAGTTTTACTCCAGGAGCTGCGAGGCTTTCAGCTACGTTCAGACTGAACTCTGTTTACTGAACCAGCAGCTGCTGACGTCATTACGCTTTTGCGTGATGCTGCGTTCAGGACAAGCATGGAAAACTCACCACTCTTAGGCCAAACTGGTCGCAATGATGCGTTTAGGTACCGAAACATGGTACCGTTTGATGTTACGTGAATAGGTAATCAGTAGTACCGACAGAAATCGGTCGGTACTTAAAAAAGTATTGAATTCAGTACTCATCCCTAAACACATCACTAGTATTTAGTCGCACCACCTTTGGTTTTTATAACAGCTTGTAGGCTCTGAGGCATGGACTTAATAGAGTCCTATGCAAATGTCTCTCACTAGGTAGTAGGCATCAGTGGCTGCCAAGTGAAATACTGGCTTAAACACMTTAAATATAGGGTACATTGTTGAGTGTAAAACAGTAATCAGAAACGGAATCAGACAGAAGTGACATATTTTTGACAACCTTCAATGCATCTCTGTCCCCTGCAGGTACATATAACTGTGGCACTTGTCATTGTGAGCCAGGCTACCTGGGAGCTCGCTGTGAGTGTCAGGAAGGTGATGCCAGCAGCCAACACCTCAACTTCTGTCGAGAAGCTGAGGGGAAGCAGGTGTGTAGTGGGCGAGGCGAGTGTAGTTGCAACCAGTGCGCGTGCTACGAGTCGGAGTTTGGAAAAATCTACGGCAGCTTCTGTGAGTGTGACGACTTCTCCTGCGCCCGTCACAAAGGAGTTCTCTGCTCAGGTAAGAACTTCTATCATACTAAAAAATGTTTTGTTTTATTACAGAGATGTGATAGTTTGAATGATGGCTACTCAGAAAGCTTCTCGTTTCAACATCGACACAGTGCTTTATGTTATTTAAACCAGTGGTTCTCAATCCTCATCCTCAAGGAACACTATCCTGCATGTTTTAGATGCTTTCCTGCTTTGGCACAACTGATTTAAAGTAAACAATGAGTGAATAGCAGGCTTCTGAAGAACCTAAAGACCTCCTGAAGAGCAGGGCAACAGATAAAACATGCAGGGTAGTGGTCCTCGAGGACCAGGATTGAGAACCACTGATTTATACATCCTTTCCTGCAGCTCGGAGCTTCTGCTGGTGATGAAGTTTTTTTTTCCTTGTTCTGAAAATAAAGTTGAAGCAGTCTTTTACAAAAGTGTCACTATAAAAGAAAAATCTTCCTGACAATCAGCAGCTGTCCTTTGGACCACAAAGCTGAAGACCAGTGGTGGGCACCAGCCCGCTAAAGCGCAAATCCGCTAATTGCAGACCTAAATACAGTATTTCGTTTGTGCTTTAACAATCTTACTAATTTTTATAATTCGTAATCGGATTTTCGCTTTCTATAATTAAAAAGCAGTACCACTAATAACTAATTATCTACCAGTCATCATTATGCTGAACAGCAGAAGGT